GGGGGGGGGGGGGGGAATCTACTGATACGCATCACCTCTTCCTGTCATTGCTAGAAGCACCACATTTTGTGGATCATCTCCTCCAAAGGTTTTCAAATTATGCTCCTGATAGGGTTTGCCCAAGACTGACAGGTTTCGTGGGGCATAGGACTCTCAGTGCTAAACCTGGGAAAGTCCCAGGCAAACTGGAACAACTGGTCCCCCAAGCTCCTGAGAAGCAGCAAGAAATAGATGAATGGTCTCCTGTCCCCAATCCCAACTCTGGTCCCCATCAACAACCACAGCTTCTCTATTTTTACCTCTTTTAGATACTGGACTTTGCCCACAGCAGAGTTCTGTGACTGAAAGGGGTTTGTAAGTCATCATCCAAGCCATCGTTCTCCTAATGGTCTTCATCAGCCAAAGCCCAGGAGGTTTAGAGACTCAGCATTTTCAGGGAAGTGAGTCTAATGTGTAAGACAGAATCTCAGTGGTGAGGGGACAGGGGGAGGCCAAGCAAAACCCCTTGGATGAGCTCCAGAGGTTGGCGGTGCTGACACCCTGGCAGGCTGGACTAGGTTCTTGACTATGTCGATCACCACTGCTATCGGCAAGCCTGTCTCAGAGGACAAGCTGGAACTCAGTGGAAAGATCCTAAATTTGGACCTCTTTGGAAACCTGACAGCTTATGCATGGTTTCTGAAGTCCTGTTCAGCAAGCACTGGCTTTCTATGATCCCAGACGCTGATGGCATTCCACCCATGAAATTTTGGCTCTCATCTCTACATACTGAAGGCTTCTTACTATGAACACATGTGACTCTCTGCCAAAGGTTTCTTTTTCTGGTCGTGAGAGCTCAGGAGTTGCTCAGGCCAACTGTGGTAGGGACTCACCATGAACAATGCACCAAATTCATAATTCACTTAAATATAATGAAAGGACTACATTAAAAGAAATTAACATGGAGCTATTTGCAAAACATAAAGGTTTCCATGAGAGTTTTTAAAAATTATGATTAAGTGAATAAAAGCTACTTACTTATAAAAGGCCTGGTTCTCCACCCCACACTTCCAAAGGTGTTTGCAGGCAGCGGGCGTTGACGTATGGAATGCCAACATGGCTTTTTTCTAATAAAAAATACAAAACAAACAGGGCATGTTAAACATAGTTTCTGTTTTTCATCTTTTTCTTTCAAGTATTTACCCATTTGTATCTCGACACCTACCAAACCTATTTGAAACAACTTGTGCATTACTACGTTCTTAAAAGTGTTGCTGAAATGGCACCCTCCCCCCACACCCTTTGCAGACATCACCCATCTATGTAGGCCCTGTTTCTGACAAAAAGCAGCCTCACAATTTTCAACTCTCCAGGCATTGCCTACCTCTCAATCAGACTTGGATTCGTTCAAAAACGTATTTGCCCACCTTGAATAACTCATGCTTGAACTAAAACCTAGGGTCAGGAGATTCCCCAAACCTCCTGACCTAGTTCTGAGGCTCAGTTTTGGTATCGGTCTCCTTCCAAATGCGCTCCCTGCTAAACCCAACCTAGCCTGGTAACTCCTTTATTTTAAGGCTCCGGGGTCTTATAGACTCTGTTTATAAAACTCTAACCATCACTGGTTGATACAAGCTTTGTAAATATTCTTCACTTGTTTCATGAATCTGTATTTTAGCAAATTACAGAGGTAGGGGAAGTCCCAGTTGCTAAATCTCAAGTCTACCCCAGTCTATTTTTTACACATGAGCATTCACTCAACATTATTCACTGACTTCATTCTTAAATGTATAAATCCAATGTTTACTTGTTTACCTCTTAAATATTCTCAGCATACAGCTTCCATTATCAGCACAACTTTAAAGTCATGGTCTTTGGGGGCTACAATGCTAAAGGCACATTTTATGCTTGAATCTCTTATAGTGTGCATGCACACACACGCACACACAATAACAGAGTTAGAAAAGCAGTGTCTGACCTCCTTCTGGGTACCAATCACGTAAAATGTCTTCCCTTCAAACTTCAATTTGCAGACATCCGGCCTAAGAAAAGAAAACCTCTTTGAGTGAATAGAAAAAATAAACGTGGCAACTGACCAAGGTACCTGGCTTTCCCACAGGAAAGCAGCTGATGCCTAAATGCCAAGCAGACTGCACTGAAACTAGATATTATCTTATCATCGGTGGAGGCTTAATGAGCAGCAAAAAAACCCCGAGAGAATTATACAGCAATTTCTTCCCAAGAGAGGACCCACAGGCAGCTCAGAACTATTGATTCCATATTTTACAGTTAAGCTGCACCTTTCTCCCAAAGAACTCTAGAGGTCCCATGAACATGAATGACCCAAACAGCATGAATTGGCCAGCCCACTGTGCGAGGCAGGAAGAAGGTTATTTCAGATTCAGTTAATGAAATGACATGTATTCACAATATCTGTTCCCTCATCCTTTCACATCACCTCTGAGAAGCACACACACCACACTGTGCAATTCTCATTCCTGCTCTCCCTGTTTACAGAAGAGTATTTCATTTTATACTGAGATGCTCAGAATTGGGAGGACAGCTTGATGAATGGACATCTGAAGGAGTTGCTTGATTAAAATCTGCCTGAAATGTAGACCCCAGGTCACCATCTTGGTGAGCAAGTATGTGTGAAGAGAAGAGAGGCTTCTATTTTTATTCCTTTGATCTAATTCCTTAGATAGTGATGTGGGCCCCTGTGCTTTTCCTGGGGGGAAAAGAACAGTGAGGTCACATTAAGATGTTTTAATTTAGGTAGAGGATTTGTAAAAGTGACAAAGCTCAATGGATGTTTAAAAACAAACAAACAAGTAAAACAAAAAACCCTGACGGGTAATGTGAGAAGAAAATTTGTTTTTGTAACAATACGTAGATGTTAGAAACACATGTGCCTAGCAGAGCTGGGAAGATTGGAGTTGGCATCAGCACCTCACCAGGAACACCAATATACAGAAGCCAAAACCAAATGGTTGGATTTTCCTTTTCAGCTCTTCAATGTGCACAAGAAGATACTGGGGTCCAAAGAAGGGAGAGACTCGCAGTTAATCTGCACTTGAGACATGTCTAGTTCTAACCTAAGTACTCTAGAGCTCAAGCAATTCAAAATCTGAGAATCTAACACCCTACGGTGGGATGGAGAGAGTAGCCACATTACCTACCCATGCTCCCCAAAGTCAGTATGGAACTTACTCTGGAACAGAGTTGAAAGTATGAATTGAGTAAAAGGCAATTATAGACAAGGCTAGGAAGATATTTAGAGAAATTGAGCATCTTAAAAAGAGGGTTTATCATGACAAAGAGCAGAAGGTGGAGGGAGAGGAGTGGACATTAGCTGACTAATGCTAATCTAAGAGAGAAGGCTTGAAAAGAAGGGGGCGCTAAGAGGAGAATGGTAAGAAGGGGGGGAGCTCCTCGATAATGAGGTGCTAAAAGAAACCCTGAAGCTATAGAACCATGAACTGAGATTCAGGCAAGTGCAAGAGAGCATTTCCAACTCAGATGGAGATGGATGCCCACTGGCCCATCAAGAGGAGCTTCAGATTCAAGCTCTCAAGACAAAGGAGTGAGCCTACCACCCAGTGAGACACAACAGGGGTGACAAGCCTGTCAGGACCATCAGAGAGGGAACCGCATCAAGCTGAAGATATGAACAAGATGCCCTTTCCAATATCCCATCACACGCACCATGTTCAGCCTTCTCACTCTTTACCAAAACCATTTGGCTCCCTGCTTGGACAGAGTGGGTGCTGCAGGTGGCCTGCCCCGCTACATCGTCCCACTGCTTTACTGACACAACCTAGGTTTTTCCCTTCCTGAGGGTCACGTGTTCATGCAGATCATGCTCTTCTTAGTCCCAAGAGGATGAATCATTGATTCACGCCCCCGTCAGGAGTTCCCAGTCTTCTGGGAAGGACTGGTTTAAGTAGGCACAAGCCCGTGTGACCCAAGCCTGCCCCGTCAGATACACAGGGAGCCTCCCACAGGGCTTCTGGAAGGTTGTCCTTGCTGCAATAGCAGACACACGGGGGGCTGCTCTCCTCCAGGCTCTGGGCGCTGCTGTGTGAAGATGTAAAGGCCAGAGCTGCATATAAGACCATGTCATTCTATGAGCCTGGGAATAAAAGCTACCACCCTGTAATGGCAAAGAAGAAACTAGAGAGACCCAAGTCCTGCACAGTACTGTTGGGCAGTTAAGTTAAAGGACCATGGATGGTGCGATCTCTGGAACTTGCTGTGTGAGATAATCAGTCCTCTTATTTGTAAGCCATGGTGAGCAGACATTACTGTTGCTCTGACCAAAAGCATCTTCACTGATACACTGGAAAAGGAAAGGTAAGTCTGCAGCAAGGACTCAACAGAATAGAGCGAAGCGACTGGGAGGGACTGGTCCTGAGTTGCTCAAGGGAATCTGAACCTTTACCTGCCCTGCCCCACCCCCCGGTCAGCGCAGAAGCGACTGGTGAGGAAACGCTGGACACCTTCTGTCTGGAGGCAGAGCCCCTGAGCCTGGGCACACCCCAGGTTTCCTGAGGGGACTCCTCAGCTGGACAAATCTGATTCCCTCCTAAAATAGGGCAAAAATAAAATTAAAAAATAAATAAATAAAAAATAAAACAGGGTAACCTAGATTAGGTTTCCTTTATAGATAATAAATCCCTTTGTAATGAAGTTCCAAGGCAAAGAAATGAACACCAGGCACTCTACCTGGCATTTCCTAAAAAAAACATCAAAGGTAGGGAATGAAAAACAAGATTAAGAAAAATGGTAAGCCAGCTTTCCAAAGAAGCACTCACCACTTTATCAAATGGATCCTCTTATTTCCCTGGAACACCACAAAGCCTGCAGCAGTGAATCCCAAAAATGTTGTTGTGCCTGTTGAATCCTGGCGGCGGGGGAAGGAAATAAAAAATATTTGGTTTGAGGAATATAAATGATACGTGGTACACTTATTCATCCTCACCCTGGGTTACTTTCAGGTTAATTCTAATGACTGTAGCAATAAACTAAGCTTCTGAGATGGGATTTCCAAAGCTACTGCTTCTAAAATCTGGGTGAGGTCTGGGAATATGTCGCTTTTCCTTTTGAGGAAAGACCTTCCGCCTCTGCAGGAACCTCCTGGGAAGGTACAGATCAGTCCCAAACCACTGCTATGTCTACTTCCAAATGTCTCCGGGGCCGCCAGACTTCTCAGCTCTGCCTTGCAATGTGGACAAAGTGTTCTTGGTTGTCATTAGCCCTGAAACTAAAGATGCTATGAAACCAAAGCCCTGAGCATCTAATTGAGCTTGATTCAATCCCACACAGGATTTCTGGCAATTTTAATATAAAAATATTTCCTACTTTGCTTCCAGCTGAACCAGGAAAACTAAACATTAATAAGTAAAGCCAAAGGAACAACAAAAAATCTAGTAATAAACAGAGAGGCTTGGATTTCTGGATAAAATCTAATTCACTAAATGGACTAATCTAATTTATACCATGACTAGGAAGAGGCTCTGGCAAATATTCTAAAATAACTGTGGGCAGACCACAAGATGCATGTGCCAGTGTGGACAACTACCACCGGCTCTCAGCCTCGGCTACACATTGGAGTCCTCCAGAGGGCCTGGTCTGCACCCCAAGAGATCCTGATGGCACTGGGCAGTAGGAGTTTAGGAGGCTCCCCACGTGCCTGTAATGAGGAGCCAGAGCCTGTAGGACTGGCACTTGACCAACTACTACTTACTATCCAGTCCCATCTGAGTAAAGAAATGTTCCGATAAGACTCAAAAACATACCTTAAGAGCCTGACTGACATAAATGCTTAATTTAGGATTTGGGTTAGAACCTGGTTAATACATACTAATTTAAGGCATGGAAAGGAGAACACTTTTCACAAAACAATTCTGGGAAATATGTGCATGAGGATCACTTTGGGAATTTGTTTAAAAGGCTGATTTGCCAGCTGCAACCCAGTGATTCTGCAGAGTAGCCCTGAGGTGAGGCCCAGGTGATTCTGATACACATGGCCTGTGACACATGCTTGAGAGAAACACTGTCAGATAATATGAGTAAAGGAAAAAAACACACAAATACTCCTAATGTCAAAATATAATTGTAAATCCTTCTTTTCTTCCACTTCCTCATTTTTTAAGATTGCATTCTTGCTGGCAGTGGCCTTAAAAATAAACGTTAGGACCCTGTGATTTCTCAGGGGTAAAACCATCCACTTGATGGATGAATGAATCCATGTATGTTAATTTAGGGATATGTGGCTACTACATAGCAGTTAGCAAGCAATGGGTAGACTCCAAAGGAGAAAACCAACTGCTGAAACCTGTGACTGCAGCCCACTGTCGTCCTTTCCAATTAGGGGCGGTGGGTCAGGCTCTGGAAATGTCCTGTGAGGGGTCTGCCAGGCAGACGCAACAATTAACTCTTTTTGAACAAAACAATCTTTATCGACCCACTGTGAGGGCCAGTTACCTTGCATGGGTGGGGATCCACTCCATAGGTTTCCAAAGTATGAGCTTTCAGGAGTAAGTTAAATTCAGCAACTGGTGGGCTCTGGCCTCTAAAATCACACAAGAAAAGTTATGGAGTTAATATGGAAAATAACAGAAACATGGAGTCCCTTCATTCAATAAAATGTAATATCCTAAACTAAATAAAGAGCAAAATCCCTGCACAAATATTAATCAGTAAGACTGATCATTACTTCTCACCATGAGGTGCCCTTTGCCAAGGAATCTGAGCTCCTGTCCCCTGGCTGATGGTTCCACAAAAAACCCGCAAGTACTCGGAGGACACCAGTGACCTGTACACTTAATCAAGATGCTCAAGTTACTGATAAGTAGGTCCTTGGAAATGCAATCTTATGAAATAAAACTCAGCATCTGTTCTTTCCAACTCATTTAAAAAGATTACCCAGGGTAAATGACACTCCTTCTTGCTCAGGGTAGAAAGTGGCAATCCTGTCACCCCATCAACAAGCCTAAACAGAGCCATCTGAGTAAGAAAGAGCCGCTGACCATTCCACTGGAAAGCCCTGGATTTTGAAAGGAAATCTCAGCCACTAGTCCCAGCACTGTCCTCCCGGGTGGTAAACAAGGTCTTGGTCTCAAGGGGACAAAAGAGGCTACAAATATAGATGGCTGTGAAAGCCCCTTTGGGGCCAGCTTCCCAACCAGGACTGTGGAGCATGTCAAAGGCTCCGCTCAGACTGACATCAATAGGCCATGTGTATCTCAGAGGAGCTGAACTACGCCCCGAGGGTGAGCACATAACCCTAACAGCCAGGAAGAGCCTAAGGAAGACAACAGGAATTCACTTCTAGTTCCAAAAGGCAAAGCTATATTGCAAGGTTGGATCTATTTCCACCTAAGCTTCTCCGAAAAGATAATTTCCTCCTCGACCCCTCAAGGCAGCTGAGAATCATCACTGGGCCCTCAAATCAAAACAGCCTCCCCCCTACCTTCTCCCTAAAGCCTTTGGAGATCTTCCCTTTACCCAGAGTACAACTTCCAGCTTGATCATTTATTCTTCATCTGTGTGCATCCTGTTTTTCATGCCGTTTATAAGTTTTTGTCAATTAAATATTTCATTTTCAATGTAATAGCTACAGGCATACCTCAGTTTATTGTGCTTTGCTTTATTGCACTTCACGGATTTTGCGGGGTTTTTTTACAAATTGGAGGTTTTTGGCAACCCTGCATTAAGCAAGTCTATGGGCACCATTTGTCCAACAGTATTTGCTCACTTTGTGTCTCTGTGTCACCTTTTAGTAATTCTCACGATATTTCAAACCTTTTTATTACTATTACATTCATTATGGTGATCTGTGATCTTTGATGTTACTATTTTAATTATTTTGGGGCACCACATATTTCACCCATATAAGGTGAATTTAATCAATATATATGTGTGTTCTACACATTCCCCCATACCTCTTCCTCTCTTCAGGTCTCCCTCTTCCCTGAGACAAACAATATTGAAATTAAGCCAATTAATAACCCTACAGTGGCCTCTAGGAATCCAACTGAAAGAGTCCATTGATGTAGCAAACTTCATTGTTACTTTAAGAAATTGCCTTGGCACCCTAATCTTCAGGAGCCAGCACCCTCATCAGTAGTCGTCAGCTCTCCACCAGCAAAAAGATGGTGACTCGCCGCAGGCTCAGAGGGTGGTAAGATTTTTTTTAGCAATAAAGTATTTTTAATTAAGTATGTACATTTTTAAGCCTAATACTATTCACACTTAATAGACTACAGTACAGTGTAAACATAACTTTTATATGCACTGGGAAACTAAAAAATTCACATGGCTTATTTGCTTGCTGTTGTCTAGAATCAAACCTGGAATACCTCTAAGGTATGTCTGTATTTGGTTCTTGAAATAGTTGCTTGTTCTTATTTTATGAAAAATAAACTCTTATTATTACCCTTATATCTCTTATATATACTTTTAAAGTTCAACCTTGTTCACTCTATTATTGCTCCTTTCTTGGTGATGGTCCTTTCATTTACGGAGTCAGAGTGTCTTACTGATTGAACTGATGTTTCCTTAAGTGCTTGATGATCCTTGGTTGGACAGTCATCTTTAGGTTTGATGTTATTTATTGAATGCAGCAGTCCCCAAAGGTTGTAGGGAAGGATGGGATGTGCCATGTGGGAAGTGTGTGTCAGTAATTTGATTTCAGGCTGAAGCTTCTAGTTCCTTCTGGGTCTTGTCCCCTACACAGGGTACCCCCAGCTCAAACCTGGAAGCAGAGGAAGGGGTGAGAGCTGCCCAGCTGCTCCAAATGCGGGTGCCCACTCACCATGACGGCCACTGTGTATCTGTTGCCTGGAGCACCCAGAACCACTCCTACCGTATGTATGTGTTTGCCCTGGATTTCCTCTGTTTCCTGTCTTCCAGAGATACCTCAGGACTGATCCAAAGGTGGCATTCTTCCCTGTATCCACTTTCTAGTACTTTTTCTATTACCCACAGGGACTTGGAAAAGGAAGGGAAGGTAGCCACATATGCTACCTGTTTCTTTTAACAGGAGAGAGAGTTTTTAAATCCATCCTTTACAGAATATATTCCTGAGGAATTAACTCAAACCCCTGCTTTAGAAAAATAAAGTCTTTCTAAGGCTTTCAGGATTTCCTCTTTAGTCAGTGTTCTGAAAGTTCACCGATGATGTATAAAAGGAGCATCTTTATTTATTCACCCTGATCAGCACTGTGGGCCCTTTCAATCCAACAGCTTCTATTGTGCTTTGACCATTTATTTTTTTTTTTTCAAGTCACAGCCATAATAATTTTTTTTATATATATAAAGTAACAATAGATTTTAAAAAGTCACCAACTATATTGATGGGGATAGAGAAAAGGATTTTTTAAAAGTTTTCTCAGTATATACAGGTATTTCTTTCTCCATAGCATTCTTATAAATTCTTAAAGTAGTATCTTACTTCCCAGCAGGAAATAAAGATAGTTATTAAATGTCAATAAAGCTTTATTGGAACATGGCCACACCCATTCATTTGCATGCTGTCAATGCTACAAGGGCAAAACTGAACAACGGCAAAGACACCATATGTCCTGCGAAACCTAAAGTATTTACTAAGTGGCCTAGTACAGAAAAAGTTAGCCGAACCCTGGTCTGGGAACTGAACACAGGAATGGGGAATAAGTGAAGCTATATCTCCTTGATTCCACAGGACAATACAGAAATAGCACCTACCTCCAGGATTTGGTGTAAAGACCAAGCAGTTAACAGACAGCAAGCAGCTAGAGTAGCGCCTGGCACAGAGCATAGGTTCCCCTTAGCCCTGCACATGACTCACAGAAATATGACATTGGGGGAAATGCCAGGCAGCACGTCAAGATTTTTACAGCAAAGCAAAGGCCCCTCTTTAAAGTAAAAGTCCTCCAATTGTTATTGTTTGCGTTGGGTTAGCCTGCAGATCTCCAATGGCCGGGCATTGAAAAGATTTCATCTAAAAAGCCACGCACGGAGAGAGGCTAACTACAGATGTTCAGAGATGGGGGTTCAAAGCCAGTGGAGGAGAGCTGCAGACTCAGGAGCACTAGAAACTCTTTTAACCCCCTCACTCACTGAGGAAGAAACTGTTTAATGATCAGGCTTTCAGAAAGAGGCTGAGATCAATTAAATAGAAATGCTTTGTTTTATTCCCTCAAATCCCTCACTGGACATTTGTTTCTGGCAAAAACTCTGTTGGGTAATGGAAAATAATGATTTCCTAGCCTTTAAATCTTGCATCAGGAACTGTTCTGAGGTTAATAGTGTCTCTAATGAGACATTTAGAAATAAAAAACAGTGATTAGTTGAATTATTTTTTAAGACCTAACAGTTCTCTAAAGATATGCTTCTGTGGTAAATTAGGTGAGGCCAAGTAATTATGTATTTAGCTGTATAGCTCCCTTCTGCCCATCCTGAGTACTTTTTGCCAAAGGGAGCACTCTCTCTCTTATTGATCTGCCTTTAGCATTCCATTACATAGAGTGCAAAAACATATAGTGTTCCAAAAAGGAATGTAAATTATTAGTGGACATTCATTGTGGAATAAGGTGTGGATCTTGCCAGCAATGATCTGGACTGTTCAGGGCCCAGATGGCACGGAAGGGGGTGGATTTGGCTCCACCTGATTCATCTGGGTCTATGAGCTCTAGAATTAAACTCATGGGTAGAAGACCAATGTAATGGTCTTCTATAGCAAAGAAGCATTCTCAACTTGAGTTAGGTTCATTTTTTTCTGCAACTTGGTTGCAACTTTTGTTAGATTTTGCTCACCACTGGCTTCAAATGTGTGAGTGACCTCAGGACTTGCCCTGTGTCAGGGCTTGGGATCTTAGCACCCATGAGACTCTGGAGAACTCTCTATATTTTATAGCCTGGCCAATGTTTGAGCTGCAGGGCATCTTTGCTCTGTAGTATCACCCCTGGCTCTCTGCATTTCAGACCTTTTTTCCTCCTGTGGTCCTATCCCTGCCATTGGCAAGAGCTGCCCGGCCCTGGTTGAAGGTCTGGAGTGCCTCAGAAGGATTTCACTCAGCTCTCCCATCCTGTCCAGCTTCAGCACACTGCCCCTATTCACTCAGTGAAGGCCAGGGGCCAAATGGTGGAAAGGTACGACTCACTCTGTCACTGCTGTCTTTGGGGTCCCAATCAGCCAAGCCAGCCTAGTCATGGCCTATTCCTCTTCTTCCCACCACACCTCCAAAAGTGAAAGCAGCTGTAGGTCTCCACTCTCCTCAGGATGATGACCTGGATTTTAGTACATTTGGATTTCTTTGTATACTCAGCAATCAGACAGGTTTTACAAATATGATTTTTGGGGTTTATGTAGTTTGTTGATGTTATCTTGGTGTTGGGGGGACATCAATGCCTCATGTTTTTCTATATCCTAACTGGAAGTGAGAGTCCCCAGTCTCTCACCTCTGATTCTTTATTTATAGAGGAACATTATCTCTGGCAAACTCCTTGAGTTTGGACCATTCGGGACCATTTCTATGCAGAGCATTAGAGAGAACACTGCAAATCGGGATAAATGCCATGCTATGAGGA